TATATATATATATATATATATATATATATATTATAGAGAGATAAAGATAAAGATAAAGATATATTATATATACACACAGAGACACAGATATAGATATCGTAGAGAGAGACAGAGACAAAAAAAGGAGACAGAGAAAAGAAACGGAAAAAGAGACAGAGAAAAGAAACAGAGACAAAAAAGGAGACAGAGAAAGAGAGACGGAGACAAAAAGGGAGACAGAGAAAAGAAACAGAAACAAAAAAGGAGACAGAGACAGAAAAAGAAAAAGAAGAAAGAGAGACAGAGACACAAACGGAGACAGAAGAGATACGCACAACAGATAAAGAAGTATAAACATAAATATATAAACATATAAACATATAAATATATAAACATATAAATATATAAATATATAAATATATAAACATATAAACATATAAACATATAAATATATAAACATATAAACATATAAACATATAAACATATAAAACAAACAAACAAACACAAAAAAACAAAACAAATAAATAAATACACAAATAAAAACAAACAAACAAGCAAACAAACAAAAACAAACAAACAAAAAAACAAAAAAACAAAATAAAAAAAAACAAAATAAAAAAAAGGTGAGAGCAGAGCGAAGCATCCATGGTCTTACTCCTGGCTGCTGGTTGGTGTCTGCCTTCGAGTATATTATCTATTCTATGTAGGACCAATGGTCTATGCCGGTGGTTAACCACTAGGTTATGTGTAGCATTTCTTTTTGCTATAGAAATAAAATCAAAGAGAAAAGAAGATTCACCATAAAGAAGAGAACGAAAACCCTCACACACAAAACCATTGGTCCGGCACAGCAGCCCCATGGTGTACAGCCATAGACCATTGGTCCTCGCTAAAGATAAAGAAGAAGATAGAGACCCAGCTGCTGCTGCTGCTGCTGGTGGTGGTGGTGGTGGTGCTGCTGCTGCTGCTGGTGGTGGTGGTGGTGGTGGTGGTTGTGGTTGTGGGGGTAGAGAAGAGGGAGAGGAGACAACTGTCTCCGCTGTCTCCTTCTCGTAAACATCGGCATTATTTATATCTTTTTTTTTTTCTTTTTTCTTTTTGTTTTTTTCTTTGTTGTTTTTGTTGTTGTTGTTGTTGTTGCTGTTGCTGCTGATTATGCTGCTGCTGCTGCTGCTGCAGCTGTTGCTCTCGTTGCTGCTGCTTCTGCTGCAGCTCTTACTACTATCATCATCATCATCACTATTATTATAATTATTAATATTATTTTCCTGCTGCTGCTGCTGCTGCTGCTGCTGTTGCTCTTGCTGCTGCAGCTCTTGCTGCTGTTGCTGCTGCTGTTGCTGCTGCTGTTGCTGCTGCTGCTGGAGCTGTAGCTGCTGCTGTAGCTGCTGCTGCAGCAGCAGCTGCTGCTGCTGCTGCTGCTTCGAGGAGACCGTGTCTGCAGCAGACAAGGTGTGGGGTCTGGTGGTTTTGTGGGGGAGACAAAGCTGCAGCTCTTGGGGTGTCTCGGCAGCTTCATTTAGGTTTTCTATTGAGGGTTTTAGTTTAGGGTGGGGTTTATAAACACCATTGCTAGAGAAAGAACTATAATATAATAAAGAAGGGCTTGATGCTTCTGCTGCTGCTGCTGCTGCTGCTGCTGCTGCTGCTGCTGCTGCTGCTGTTGATGATGGAGTTGCTCCTGCTAATCCTCCTCCTCCTCCTGATC